GCGCTCTGCGCAGGCGTCGCCCCGCCCCTTCCGGCTTCTGCCCTACGCTCATTGGCGAGGGAAGAGAGAAACCGCCCTTAGAGCTATTCTAGTAGATTGATCGGAAGAGAAGAACGGTGTAGTTATTTGTATAGAATCACCATAGACACCTAGGGATTTTTAGGACTGGTCAACCCAGAAAGGTCTAAAAAATTCATAACAGAGGAAGCGAAAAAAGTTTTAAATCAAATTGATCCTATTAATCTCAATTCAGAGTGGAGCGGTTATTCTATTTTAGTATATCTGTGGTGCAGACCGGTTAACTTCGATCTTGAAAGTCGATTGGGCGAAGGGAGTGATCCAAGGGGCGGGGCTGCGCTGCTTTTTTTAATCTGTCACGTGCTCTGACTAGGCTTGTTCTTTATTGGTCTCCGTCTTAGAGGCAGCCTCCAGGAAGTAGTTCTACGATTGGGTAATCTGGGGAGAAGGCGGGGAAAGTGGAGGGAATCGCGGGGGACGGGATGAGAGGAGGGCCAAAGTTAATAGGTGGTCGAACTAGAGGAGGGGAAAGAAGGCGGTCCTTCTCCTTAGCAACGGGAATGTTGAAGCGGTTGCTAAGGGGGATGAAGGAGATGCCCTGGGGAAGGCCGCATATGGCAGAGGTGGGAGCTTTGCGGGTGGAGGGCCTAGAAAAGGTCTAGAAAAGGCCTTTAAATATGGCTGGCGGTGGAGAAACCCGAGCGGAACTCTGCCTTAACCAATCAGATGCCCTCCAGGGGGTAGTTGAACTACAACGCCTATCATCCCCAGCCAGCCGTATTTGCGTGATGGGTGTTGTAGTCCCACTGTAACTGATGGGCGCCAGGTTGATTCCAGGAGACATTTCTGGGAAGTGGGGCTCAATCCAGTTCCTTTCTGATACATTGTGCTTCGGGATCACGATCTGCTGCTAGTTTAAGTCTGGCGAAGGGGAAAAAAATCCCATTGAGTTCAATTTATTTATTTTATTTATTTATTGCATTTATATGCCGCCCATCTAGACATAGTCTACTCTGGGCGGCTCACAATTTAGAAGATAAAAACAATTTAAAATATACAGTTTTACATTAAAAACAAAATGATATAAATGTAATATAAATTTACGATTTTAACAGTTAATTTAAATGAAAGGGGACTTGCTCTCAGCTAAAGGGTTGTAGTTAAAGATGTAAACTTTCTGAAAATTTCTATTTTTTTCCTAAGAAAAAAATAGGGAAAATGTTTTCCCCCCCCGGAAAAAATTGAAAAATTTCAGGAATATTACATCTCTAGTTATAGCTCACTGAGTTAGGTTTCTGGGTGCAGAGGCAGAGGTTGGGAGTTTGAGTCCCCCCCATTATGCCTCCCTGAGAGAAGAGCCAGCCTGGGTAGCCTTGGGCCAGCTGCACCCTCCCTGGAATCCCTCCCCAGAAGAAGGGAAGGGGAAACCCCTTCTGAGTCTTCTCTACCTGGAAAACCCTGAAATGAATTAAGTCAGAATCAAAAGCATGCAAAAAAGGGATCCTGGCACTGCAATTTACAGAGAGCAGAGGTGTTCATGGGGTTTTGAGGCATGAAGGACCACTGAATTTGGCCTGGGTGAAGTCAGAAAAGAACTGGAAGGGTCTTCTGGACCGAAACCAGTACTTTTTAAATTTTTAAAATTGTGGATTACAAGTCAGTTTCTGCACTGTTAAGAGGAATAGAAAATGTTAAGCTGCCTTGCTGCCGGGAAATATGTACCACCCTTGACAGTGTTCGTTTGTTTGTTTTCTTTTAAAGACAGGAGACAACGGCATTTCTTAGCAACAGCCAAAGAACCAACATCACAAAGGATCTAAGCTTCCCGAGCACAGGGAAGGGCTGTTTTTTCCACAGCCACAACCAAGAGAAATGGATTTGGATTTTCTGGGAGGAAACGGTAAGAGTTGAATCCAATGTAACCTTGTGGTTAGAGGACGAGGCAGCTCCTGTTGAAAACACAAGCCATCAAGTGTGTGGGATTACCTTGGGCTGCTCACCATTTTCTCCATCTAACCCACCTCTCAGGGAAGTCTGAGATAATATGCGGGAAGGAGAAAAGTGTTTGCTTACCTTAAATGTCTTGGAGGAAAAGTGGGCATAACTGGGAAGAAAAAAATAAAATAGGGCACGCCTTTGCTTAAGAAAAATATTTGTGTGTGTGGATTCTTCTAGGGTTGGTGGGGATTGGAATCTTACTTGGATCACTCCCGTGTTTTCCCTTGCCTTTGCAGAACGTATTCAAGGCAGGGATCTGCAATAAAATGTTGCAGTGTGAGGTGGTCTGCCATCTTCCCACAGACTCCATTCTGTTCCCCGTTGTTCTTTCCTTTTATGGAAAAGTGAGCATTTTGTGGTAGCATGCTTGCTTTGTCCTCAATGGCTTTTTTTTTGGGGGGGGAGAGAGGATTTGCAAGCCATAGAGTATGATATAATTAATGATTTTTCTTCCACTTAGGCAATTATCCACCTCAATTTGTCGTGGACATTCCTAGTATTGAGGACCTGGAAGAAAGCCTGAGAAAACTTAAGGTCCAAGTGGACAACCTGGCCTCCAGTCTGAATTTCCACCCAAATCCAGAATTTCCACCCAAATTTCCACCCAAATCTAACCCGGAATCTGTAGCCAACTCAAGTCTCTTGAGTTTTGGGTCGCCAGTGGCTTCTGTTGGGAACTACGAGGAGTTGGTGACTGGAGAGCAGGCTAAGCCACTGACAGCGACAAAGTGGGGCTCAAAACGTATGCATCTGCTTGGATCCTTAGGAGAGGATTCAGCCTTGTCCAGCATGGGCCTTCCAACTTTAGCCACGTCCCCCACAGAGCATGGGGAAAGACTGATAGGAAGTGAGCTCACGAGTCAGAAGGTTTTGCCTTCAGTGGACCTCACTTTCCCATTAAAACTTGGCTCCCCTCATGTGGTTGGTGTCAAGGCTTTGCTGCCCCCTAAGATCCCGGTCCGAGGTCCTTGGCGGGGAAGGGCCTCCACCTCCTTTGACAGAGGCCGTCCGCAAAGCCTCAAGGGTGCTGCCCGCTCTCGATCGTTCTCTCCTCCTGCCAAACGTCCCCGCTGGCATCGTGCTCGGTCTCAGTCTCCAAGGCCTGCCTGGAGGCCCAGCTCGGCCAAGGCAAATGCCTCGGCCGAGCCTCCACCTCCGTTGCCACAGAGAAAAAATGGAGTGAGCAGGCAGTTTTACAGACCGGGGACTCTAGCCACCAGATCACGGACACTCAAGGCACCTGGAAGGATGGACGTCAGAAAGCCATGGAGTCCTTACGGCTTGGTGTCGACTGCTATTTCCTCACCCACAGCCCAGGAAATCAATGACCGGTAAGGAGATCCTAGAGAACTGAATTCTAGACTATTAGAAATTCTAATGTTATGATCAGCTAGGATTGGGAAGAGTTCAGGCTGGCCGCATCTAAAATAGGTGGGTATACTGATATAGCCAGAAGTTTAAAATGGTAATTTGATGGTGGAACTGTTTATATATTTGGGGCCCCGAGAGAGGCTCCCTGGCCCGCGTCGCCGCCTCCGCCCCGGTTGAGCCCGAAGAGCCACGACATGATCCCGCCGGCCAGCAATGGGGGGAAACCCAGGCGCTCCGGCACACGCGGACCCAACGCGGTGCACTCTGTGCAGGCGTCGTCCCGCCCTTTCCGGTTTCTGCCCTACGCTCATTGGTGGGGGACGAGAGAAATCGCCCTTAGAGCTATTCTATTAGACTAATCCGAAGAGAAGCAAGGTGCAGTTATTTGTATAGAATCACCCTAGAGACTTAGGGATTTTTCGGTCCACCGAGGAAGGTTTAAAAACTTCATAACAGAGGAAGCGAAAAAAGTTTTAAATCAAATTGATCCTATTAATCTCAATTCAGAGTGGAGCGGTTATTCTATTTTAGTATATCTGTGGTGCAGACCGGTTAACTTCGATCTTGAAAGTCGATTGGGCGAAGGGAGTGATCCAAGGGGCGGGGCTGCGCTGCTTTTTTTAATCTGTCACGTGCTCTGACTAGGCTTGTTCTTTATTGGTCTCCGTCTTAGAGGCAGCCTCCAGGAAGTAGTTCTACGATTGGGTAATCTGGGGAGAAGGCGGGGAAAGTGTCGCGTGAGGGGAGGGAATCGCGGGGGACGGGATGAGAGGAGGGCCAAAGTTAATAGGTGGTCGAAATAGAGGAGGGGAAAGGAGGCGGTCCTTCTCCTTAGCAACGGGAATGTTGAAGCGGTTGCTAAGGGGGATGAAGGAGATGCCCTGGGGAAGGCCGCATATGGCAGAGGTGGGAGCTTTGCGGGTGGAGGGCCCTGGAGTCTCTCCCATAAGCCTAGGAAAGGCCTTTAAATAGGGCTGGCGGGAGTTGAACTGCAATGCCTATTATCCCCAGCCAGCTGTACAGTATTTGGGTGATGGGTGTTGTAGTCCTGCTGTAACTGATGGGCGCTAAGTCCGGAAAGGTTGATTCCAGGAGGCATTTCTGGGAATTGGGGCTCAATCCAGTTCATTTCCAATACATTGTGCTTCAGGATCACGATTGGCTGCTTGTTTAAGTCTGGAGAAGGGAAAAAAAACCCATTGAGTTCAATGAAAGGGGACTTTCTCCCAGCTAAAGGGTTGTAGTTAAAGATGTAAAATTTCTGAAAATTTCTATTTTTTTCCTGAGAAAAAAATGGGGAAAAATGTTTTTCCCCCCAGGAAAAAAAAAATTGAAAAATGTTCAAAAATTTTACATCTCTAGTTATAGCTCTAGTTATAGCTCAGTGAGTTAGGTCTCTGGGGGCAGAGGTAGAGGTTGGGAGTTTGAGTCCCCCCCATTATGCCTCCCTGAGAGAAGAGCCAGCCTGGGTAGCCTTGGGCCAGCTGCACCCTCCCTGGAATCCCTCCCCAGAAGAAGGGAAGGGGAAACCCCTTCTGAGTCTTCTCTACCTGGAAAACCCTGAAATGAATTAAGTCAGAATCAAAAGCATGCAAAAAAGGGATCCTGGCACTGCAATTTACAGAGAGCAGAGGTGTTCATGGGGTTTTGAGGCATGAAGGACCACTGAATTTGGCCTGGGTGAAGTCAGAAAAGAACTGGAAGGGTCTTCTGGACCGAAACCTGTACTTTTTAAATTTTAAAAAATGTGGATTACAACTCAGTTTCTGCACTGTTAAGAGGAATAGAAAACGTTAAGCTGCCTTGCTACCGGGAAATATGTACCACCCTTGACAGTGTTCGTTTGTTTGTTTTCTTTTAAAGACAGGAGACAACGGCATTTCTTAGCAACAGCCAAAGAACCAACATCACAAAGGATCTAAGCTTCCCGAGCACAGGGAAGGGCTGTTTTTTCCACAGCCACAACCAAGAGAAATGGATTTGGATTTTCTGGGAGGAAACGGTAAGAGTTGAATCCAATGTAACCTTGTGGTTAGAGGACGAGGCAGCTCCTGTTGAAAACACAAGCCATCAAGTGTGTGGGATTACCTTGGGCTGCTCACCATTTTCTCCATCTAACCCACCTCTCAGGGAAGTCTGAGATAATATGCGGGAAGGAGAAAAGTGTTTGCTTACCTTAAATGTCTTGGAGGAAAAGTGGGCATAACTGGGAAGAAAAAAATAAAATAGGGCACGCCTTTGCTTAAGAAAAATATTTGTGTGTGTGGATTCTTCTAGGGTTGGTGGGGATTGGAATCTTACTTGGATCACTCCCGTGTTTTCCCTTGCCTTTGCAGAACGTATTCAAGGCAGGGATCTGCAATAAAATGTTGCAGTGTGAGGTGGTCTGCCATCTTCCCACAGATTCCATTCTGTTCCCCATTGTTCTTTCCTTTTATTAAAAAGTGAGCATTTTGTGGGCACTTAGCGTGCTTTGTCCTCAATGGCTTTTTTGGGGGGGGGGAGAGAGGATTTGCAAGCCATAGAGTATGGTATAATTAATGATTTTTCTTCCACTTAGGCAATTATCTGCCTCAATTTGCTCTAACCCGGAATCTGTAGCCAACTCAAGTCTCTTGAGTTTTGGGTGGCCAGTGGCTTCTGTTGGGAACTACGAGGAGTTGGTGACTGGAGAGCAGGCTAAGCCACTGACAGAGACAAAGTGGGGCTCAAAACGGATGCATCTGCTGGGATCCTTAGGAGATGATTCCGCCTTGTCCAGCGTGGGCCTTCCAACTTTGGCCACGTCCCCCACAGAGCGTGGGGGAAGACTGATAGGAAGTGAGCTCATGAGTCAGAAGGTTTTGCCTTCAGTGGACCTCACTTTCCCATTAAAACTTGGCTCCCCTCATGTGGTTGGTGTCAAGGCTTTGCTGCCCCCTAAGATCCCGGTCCGAGGTCCTTGGCGGGGAAGGGCCTCCACCTCCTTTGACAGAGGCCGTCCGCAAAGCCTCAAGGGTGCTGCCCGCTCTCGATCGTTCTCTCCTCCTGCCAAACGTCCCCGCTGGCATCGTGCTCGGTCTCAGTCTCCAAGGCCTGCCTGGAGGCCCAGCTCGGCCAAGGCAAATGCCTCGGCCGAGCCTCCACCTCCGTTGCCACAGAGAAAAAATGGAGTGAGCAGGCAGTTTTACAGACCGGGGACTCTAGCCACCAGATCACGGACACTCAAGGCACCTGGAAGGATGGACGTCAGAAAGCCATGGAGTCCTTACGGCTTGGTGTCGACTGCTATTTCCTCACCCACAGCCCAGGAAATCAATGACCGGTAAGGAGATCCTAGAGAACTGAATTCTAGACTATTAGAAATTCTAATGTTATGATCAGCTAGGATTGGGAAGAGTTCAGGCTGGCCGCATCTAAAATAGGTGGGTATACTGATATAGCCAGAAGTTTAAAATGGTAATTTGATGGTGGAACTGTTTATATATTTATTATTTATTTAAATTATTTTGACCTTGCCTGTCTCAAAAAAAAAAAAAAGGATTCAAGGTGGCTTATGTCGTTAGAAACACAATATTCAAAGCTAAAAACCCAGCAAATTATTCAACAATGTAAAAAGAGTTAAATAAACATCATATGCTTAGGTGAAAGCATTGCTAAAACAGATTTCAAAGCCATAAGCCATCCCAGGTTTAAAAACCTCTCTTAGAGAAGCTGGTCACGGAGGGAAAAGCTTGCCTGGGGGGAAAGGTCTTGGCCTGCTTGCGGAAGGAAAGCAAAGATGGAGCCAGGCTGGTATCCAGTGGGAGGGAGTTCCACAGCGTGAGTTAGACACGCAAGCATTACATCTGGTTAAGCCTATACAGGGATCTACCAGGAGATCCAGGATCTCCCCACTGTAGGCTTGAAGGCGGGGTTGTGATAATGCATCAAAGGCCCAATGAAGATCAGGAAGATGCTAAGAACGCGATGAAGGTTTCCGTATCGGCTGCTCAGGTTCTTGCAGGCTCTGGCCGAAAGCTCTGCCGAGAGGGCTGTGATTGAGATGTCTCCCTACCAGCGAGAGCTGGCGCGCCTTCGTCTCGAGCGCCTGCGGGTGGAAGAGGCCTGGTTGCTGGAGTTGAAGAGGCAGCAGGAGCTGGAACGGACCCGAGGCCCCAGAGCCAAATGGTAAGCGATCCAGGCCGTGGGGCTTTGTTGTTGCGTCAGCTACTTGGAATCTAAAAACAGGCAGCGTTAGAATGGAAGTCCAGACGCTGCCGTTTCTATGCCTTGTCACAAGAGGGTCCTCTCGGCTTGCTCTATCCCCTGCTTCGTAGGATGCTGCGGGAGTGTGATGCGGGTGGGACCAAAGGCCAAAGCATAGCGTATTCTAATTTATGGCAGTTCCCAAGGAGCTGGGACTGTCTGGGGAATCCCAGACGGAGAGACTGGGGCCCCCGGAGGGTCGAATTCGCCCCCTCCGGCCTGGAATTCTTCATCACGCCCGCGGAGAGACACAGAGCCATTGCTCTAAGGCACTTTCTGTCTTTCAGTGGCAGCAATGGAGGGAGGGGGGGAGTCTCCAGTAGCAGCACTTATTTTCTCCATCCATTTTTGCTCTAGGGCAGTGTTTCCCAACCTGGGATCCCCAGAGGTTCCTTTGATTGCAAAGGGTTTTCTGCAGGGGCGCAGGTTGCCTGATACGTGTTGTAAAAACAAAGGTAAAAAAGTTCCCCCCTTGACAATGACGTCCAGTCGTGTCCAGCTCTAAGGGCTGGTGCTCATCCCCATTTGTAAGCCAAAGAGATGGCATTTGTCTGTTGACAGTTTCCATGGTCAAAATTGCGATGTTCGGTGCAATGAGCAATCATTTCTAAGTAGTTGTGAAGTTAACTTTTAGGGGGAATTTCCAAAGGGATTTGGAAATAACGCTTCCGTTCTCTGTCATCCCATAGCCCATGGTAAGGAAAAGTAAGCCACATAAAAACAGAGATTGTTTAAAACAGTTTTCAGAGTCTGTTACAACCATAACAAAACAAAAAACATTTGTAGTCAATTGTTTGAACCATAACAAAACAAAAGTACTACACCACCTTTTAAGACTAACCGATTTATTTCAGGGTAAACCTTTTTTGGAACTGCTGGGGTTCAGGGATTTAGGTCTCTGGCTGCGGAGTTGGATTTACAGTTTGATTCCTCACTGTGCCTCCTTGACAGGGGGTGGACTTGATGATCCATAGGGTCCCTTCCAGCTCTTCAGTTCTAAGATGATGATGATGATTCCAGTTCCTCGAGCTGGGCCAGAAGAAATGGCTTGTAAGGCATGAAAGGTCTCATTGAAAGTAATTGGTTGGTCTTAAACATACCACAGACGTTCCATTCTGGTTTTTAAGCAACGGCAATGAATTCCTTCCCAGATGGAGCAAAAGGGAACAGGACTTCTTAAAAAGTAACTTTTCCAAGCCCTGGCTCCAGTTTTACACTCTGGCCAGTCCTACCTTAAAGATTTTACTTGGGGGGGGGGGGGTGGG